CACAGGTTATTAACATTTACTGATTTCTTTTTAAAAATTATCTATGAGGGCTCTAACTTCATGTATGCATTTATGCCAGAAGAGGGCATCAGATCCCACTAGAGATAATGTGAGCCACCATGTGGTTGTTGGGAATTGAACTCAGGCCCTCTGCAAGAGCCATTTCCTTTGCAACTGTGCTCTTAGCCTCTGAGCCACACCTCCAGCCCCCATTTACTGATTTCTTAATGTTTTCCTTAGTTCCTCAAATTAATCTTACTCATGGGTATTGTTTTTCCATAACCTGAGGTTTTTATATTTTAATCGGGTTTTAATCATAAAAAGGTTGGTGTATAATTTCACTTTTTTTTTTTTATTTTTTCGAGACAGGGTTTCTCTGTGGCTTTGGAGGCTGTCCTGGAACTCCCTTGGTAGTCCAGGCTGGTCTCGAACTTAGAGATCTGCCTGCCTCTGCCTCCCGAGTGCTGGGATTAAAGGTGTGCACCACCAACGCCCGGCTTAATTTCACTTTTAAAAAATACACGTGGAGGGGGCTGGAGACATGGCTCAGAGGTTAAGAGCACTGACTGCTCTTCCAGAGGTCCTGAGTTCCATTCCCAGCAACCACATGGTGGCTCACAACCATCTGGTGCCTTCTTCTGGTATGGATGAAAACAAAGCACTCATATACATAGAATAAACAAATATTTTTAAAAAGTACATGTGGATGTGTCTCTCTGTGTGGGTCTGTGCATATGAGCGCTGGTGCCCGAGGAAGGCAGAAGATGGCATCAAATCCCCCGGGGCTAGAGTTACAAAGTAGTTATGATCCATGCAGGGTGCTAGGATCCAAACTCAGGTCCTCTGCAAAAACTATGTGCTTTGCTAGCAACTGGTACACCTCTCCAGCTCCTATAATTTCATCATAAGGGTGGTGGTGGTGCACACAGCTTTAATCCCAGCACTTGTGAGTTCAAGACCAGCCTGGTCTACAGAGAGAGTACCAGGAAAGCCAGGACTACACAGAGAAACCCTGTGTGTGTGTGTGTGTGTGTGTGTGTGTGTGTGTGTGTGTGTGTGTGTGTATACATGCATGTCCCTACACGTGTCAATTTTCTCCTCCCACCTTTGCCTGAGCCCTGAGATCATCAGGCCTGTGCAGCCACTGAACATGTGCAAAGAGAGAGGGACAGTGGTGGCGAGATGTTCATGAAGAGGCAGTTACAGTAGTCAGCTCAGGGGACAATCCCGTGTGGGTATGACCCACTTGGGTTCTGTTTAGCTGACTCTCCCTGGTTGTCTTGATGGTGTGGGTTTGCTTCTGTCTCCCAGGAAGTGCTAACCTCCTCCCAGCTGTTTTCCAAACCTCCAAGATCTCTGAGAGGCCTACATCAGTCTCGGATAAGTCAATCCTGGATCCTCTATTGGATAGACTAATTCCAACTCAATGAAACAGCTCTGAATAATGGATTCAAGGTTGGATCAGGGCAACAGCCTACATCTGTTGCTCCTAATTCAGAAGTAGAGCTAGGGAAATGCCACCTAGTGCTACGTATCTTTCTGCCCTGGTGTAGAAGCTAAGATCTTTATAAGCCAGGTGAGGGTAGCCGTGCTCCCATCTTGCTGAAGCCATGATTGCAGGTAGAATCGAGACCAGCTATAGACCTCTTAGCTGCACACACCTGATGTCAAACCTCCACACCACGTGTCTAGGAGGGATTATGAATTCTGGCAGCTTTGCCCAGCTAATGAAGATTCTTGGCATTTTCTATATCTTTGTGTGGGCTCTTCTTCTAGTGTCCTGATCCAGCCCCAACCCTGGCCATGGTAGGAGACTCCTACATTTGTTCTGCCGACTCCTCACCAACTACCCAGCGAGTTCACTTTCTGAGAAGATTAACTCAAAGGTCTTCCAGCCTTTATGTAGCACATGTGCGAACACGGGTGAGTGTGTCCGTGTAATATGAGTGGGTATATGCACATGCGTGTAGTAGCGTCTCCCCTTGCCAGTGAATTGGTGCTAGTGGCCACACCCCTTTGGACACCAGGTGCAGATGTGACAGGAAAGGTTGTGGCCACTAAAACAAATTCACTGGCAAGGGGAGATGCTACTACACATGTGTGTGCATATATGGGTTTGTGTGATGGTGTGTTTGTGTGTGTGATGTGTGTTCCTATGGGTATGTGGACATGTGGTTGTGTGCAAATCTGTGATTGCCTGTCTGTGTGTTTGTGTGGGTATATGCAATGTGTACTTGTGTGAGCGTGTGCACATGTGGGCATGTGCATGTGGAGGTCAGAGGTCAGTGTCAGGTGTCTTCCTCAACTGGCTCTACATATTTTTTGAAACAAGGTCTCTTGCTGACCCTAGAGCTCACTGATTGGCCAGGCTTGTTAAGAGAAGCTTTTTCCTTGCTAGCCGCTTTGGTTTATCCCCCGCCAGTCGCCTGGGCTCTGCCGCGCCAGCCTGGTTCTAGAGCCGCATGAGTCCCAAATAAACACACAAGACGCTGTATTAATTATGAAGCTGTTGGCCTTGCTTGTCTCTTACTGGCTACCTCTGCCTTAAGTAATTACCCCATAATTGTTAATCCAAGTATGTCTCTTACCGGAGAATAGTTCCGGGCTCCTACCCCATGCGTTACATCTTGAACTCTCTTGTGTTTCCCCTTCCCAGAATCCTCCTCGACTCCTAGTCCCTCCTATCTAGGTTTTCTATTGGCTAGACAGTACTTTATTGACAAATGCACAGGCAAATAACAGGACTTCCCCAACACAGGCTGACTGACTAGTGAACTCCATGGATCCTCTGATTCTACTCCCCAAGCACTGGGATTACACACGTGCACCCCTGGGCCTGGAGTTTATAGGTGCTGGGGATCCAAACGAGGTCCTCATGTGTGCGTGTGGCAAGTTCTTTATTGACTTGGCGTCTCCCTCATGTAGCACACCTGAACCTCACCTCTCTCACGACGCATCCCAGGTCCTCTGTGTGATTGGGCGTGATGACAGAACTGCAGGTGTCTGTGTGTCAGCCACAGGCAGAGCCACTTCCAGGCTATAAAAGGGCGCCTTACAATGGGGTGGGGTGCGGAACAAGGGGTCTCTGACCTTAAGTGACATCAACCTGGGGTGATTAGTCTAATGTGAGTTTAATGACTACTAATATGAGACACAGGGCTTACCCACTGTCTTCCTAAATTTATAGCCTTCTTTCCTCCCTTCCAACATTGTGACCCTATCAGAGCAAAGGTCACATCTCCCACTAACTGAATTTTTTCCAGAAGCTTGGTGCTTTGCTAAGCAACATGTAATCCCGCCCAGGGTGCTGTAGGGACACAGAGAGAGGGATGGATGCTCGTGGGATAAGTGCACGGTAGGGAGAGTCTGGGCTGTGTTACATACCCGGCAGCTAGGCAATATGAAGCTCGGGGTCGGTCACATAGCTCCGTGGAGACGATAAGGCAGGAGCTGGCACCCACAAAGGCCTGCTTGAAGCGTCCCCTCCCCGTCCCCAGTCCCTCCAGTGCACACGGCACTCACATCACGGCTCTCGGATCTAAAAGACTCATCCATCCTGCACTCCCCTCAGGCGCTGCTTGTCTGTTTGGAGGAGCCTGCAGACAGTGCTCAACAGTTATTACTGGAAGCTTGGCCAGAAGGTTCGGTGGCGTGGAGGTGTCTAACCTCTCCAAAATACACTCTCCACCCGTAACCTCTCTTCTCCATCCCTACCCTCTCCATTTCTATCTTCTCTATCCCTACACTCTCCACCCCTCCCCTCTCCATCTCTCCCCTCTCTATCCCTCCCCTCTCCATCCCTGCCCTCTCCACCCCTACCCTCTCCATTCCTATCTTCTCCACCCCTACACTCATCACCCCTCCCCTCTCCACCCCTCCCCTCTCCACCCCTCCCCTCTCCACCCCTCCCCTCTCCATCCCTCCCCTCTCCATCTCTCCCCTCTCTATCCCTCCCCTCTCCATCCCTGCCCTCTCCACCCCTACCCTCTCCATTCCTATCTTCTCCACCCCTACACTCATCACCTCTACACTCTCCACCCCTCCCCTCTCCACTCCTCCCCTCTCCATCTCTCCCCTCTCCACCCCTCCCCTCTCCATCCCTCCCCTCGCCACCCCTACCCTCTCCATCCCTCCCCTCTCCACCCCTCCCCTCTCCACCCCTCCCCTCTCCATCTCTACCCTCCCCATCCCTCCCCTCTCTATCCCTCCCCTTTCCTATCCATCCCTACTTTCACCATCTATACCAGCTCCATCCCCACCTTCACCATCTACTCCCTCTCCATCCATCCTTCCTCTATCCACTGGGGCATGTGGTACCCTCTTCTGTTGCACCCTGTCAGGGACCACCTCACTGAGTTGTCGGCCCAGTTTCCTGTTAAAGTAGCAACTTGTTGGCCTTGTGTTGTCTCTAACTTGGGCTTATGGACTCCTCATAGATACTTAGTGAACAACTGAAGTCTATGTATACTGTGTTTTTTTTTTGCCTTATTTTATTATTATTGTGTCAATTTGACTGAAGCTGGTGTCATCTGGAAAGAAGTAGCCTCACTTGGCTGAGGAGTTGCCTCCATCAGATTGCCCTGTGGGAATTACCTCCATCAGATTGCCCTGTGGGAATTACCTCCATCAGATTGCCCTATGGGCAAGTCTGTGGAGCCTTTTTGTTGATGATGCCCTGTGGTGCCATGCATGGCTGGTGGTCCTGGGGGCATAAGGAAGCAGGCTGAGTAAGCCATGGGGATCAAACCAGTAAACAGAAATCTCCCCACAGTTTCGGCTTCGGTTCCTGCCTCCTGGTTCCTCCCTTCGTGCTGGACTGTAATCTGTAAAGCGATATAAATCCTTCCCTCCCCAACTTGCTTTTGGTCGTGGTGTTTATGAGACAGAAAAACACACTAGCAGTAGCCCAGGCAAGAAATGGAAAGGTCGGGGTTGGGAGGGATTACTGGGTCAGGAGGCAAACTCTCAGATGATAAGTGAATGTGGCTGTCCTGATGGGGATGGGGAAATACTCCGTTCTCTCAGCTCACTGCAGTTTCAGGGGCTCCAGATGCACCCCTTAGCTTCTAGGAAGAAAACAGCCAAAAAGAATGTTTGCTCACAAGGGGAGCCCGCAGCCTGGGTGAGACCGCAACAGACAATGAGTAGTTTTCTGATGGTAAGTTAGTGTCTGAAGAAAACCAAAGAGCAAATAAGACAGGATAGCTGGGGCAATGGTGAGCAAGGAGGGGCCCTTTGGAGAGGTGACACTTCAGCTGAGACCCGCATGGTAAGATGGAGGAGGACTGGACAGCAGAAATGTCCCGAGGAGACATGGAGAAGTCCACAGCAGACACACACCGTGGAGAGGAGAGGGAGAATGACTCGGCACTGCCAGAAGAGGCCGGATCACAGTGGACACAGAAGCCAGGGAAGGAGGCTAGAGGCCACTCTGGGCACACAGGAAAGCCAGACCGAGCTTTGAGCGAGAGGGGTGTGGTCCAATGTGTGTGTTGAAAAGATCATCTGGGGCAGAAGGCAAAGCCCACACTGGGTGAGCCCCATTTCCTGCGCCAATGGAGTCTCCAATCAGTTCTGGAGGAGAGTCGGGAACTAAAACACGAGCTCATGGCTGTCAGAAGTTTACGAGCTTCTTAACTTCCCAGCTGGGCTGCTCTGGAAGGCCTAAGCATCTGCGGCTCTGTCCTGGGAGAACGTGGCAATAAGGTAAGGAAGGTACAGAGTAGGAGGAGGTGGCTGGCCCAGGGACGGAAGGCTGCCCAGATCTTCGGGACTTGGGGGGGGGGCAGAAAGACCAGCGGGTTTGGACTTGGGAGCTGAAAAAGCCAGAGAAGCAGAGCGGGAGAGAGTGGGAGCTTTTGTATCTAATTACACCGTTTGGTTGTCTAGGCAGCCTCTTTATCACACTGCAGCTCAGCTCTTTCAACAGGGTCTAATTACCTTGCCTAATTACTACCTTAGCATCACTTACCCACATTCAACTCACTCTTTCCTGGGCTCCAGCAGTGGGGCCCTCTGTGGACAGCGGGTTTTATTAGCAACTTAAGGTACTTAAGATGCCACGATGAAAAGCAGGCTTGGGAAAGACTTTATTCTAATAGGTAGTTGGAAAGCAATCGGTACAGCAGTCCACAGCTCCCCAACATACACACACACACATGCGCACACGCATGCACGCACACGTGCGCGCGCACACACACACATGCACGAACACACACACAGATTTAGGGCAGTCATAGAAAGAAAATGCAATGGAAATGAAAGCAGAGGGCCATCAGGGATTCCGGTCTTATTTTTTTCTGGTTCCCAAATACTGTTCTGCAAATTTAAAGGCTTTTTTTCCCCCTTCTTTTCATGTCCAGGTTTATAAATGCCGTGCTCAGCATGCGAGACCCAGCCGGTGTTAGGAAATAATTCTGCAGGAAAGAAATAGGCCACACGGCTAACCGGGTGAGCAAAAGTAGGTCATGGCTGTAGTATGGGCTGCTGGCCAGAGTTCTGGAGCCAGAAGGCAGCCATCTGTGAGGACACAGGGCAGTGGCCACCCTCGCTGTGCGGGTCCATTTTACTCTTTCCATGAGCCTGCAATATGACAATTTTCCCCAGTAACATTTTTCCCCCTCTGTCTGTGTCTTTGCTGATGACCTGGGCCAAAGGTTGTTCCCTGAGGTTCTTTCCTTCCACTCACAGGGCACGGTGGCTAGCAGGACTGACATATTAAGGTATATTTAACATATCCAGGTGTCTGGACAGGGCTCTGTTCTTCTTTCCAATAGGTAGCTACCTTAAAAAGTGGATGCAAGTCTCACCTACAGCCTCTCCCTGAGTCACAGCTCTGTGAAATTTGGTAAGTCACTTTTTTTTTTGGTGTTTTGAGACAAGGTTTCTCTGTATTGTTTTGGAGGCTGTCCTGGACCTTGCTCTGTAGATCAAGCTGGCCCCAAACTCACAGAGATCTGCCTGCCTCTGCCTCCTGAGTGCAGGGATTAAAGGTGTGTGTCACCAACACCCAACCGGCAGCAAGTCACTTATTAAAAGACATTTTCCTCATCTATAAAACAATACTTCCCTGGGTTTTGTCTTGTTTAGCTGTTTTTGAGTTCAATTAGAGAAAAATGTATGTACATATTATTTTATTTATTTTTGGTTTTCGTAGCTTTAGAGCCTGTCCTGCAACTCGCTTTGTATACCAGGCTGGCCTCAAATTCACAGAGATCTGTCTATCTCTGTCTCCAGAGTTCTGGGATTAAAGGCGTGCACCACAATTCTTTTATTGAACACAATGTCACAGTGACAGTGGATGACACAAGCTTTTCCCTTCTTGCAACTGCCTGGCGAGCTTGCCACTTGGACAAGCCATCTGACAGTTGTGCCTCAGTTTCCTTATTGCCAGTGTGGGATGACTTTGATGGCATGGTCTCAGGGGCTGACAGGGCTGAGGTCAGGGCTGGCCCACAGCAAACGTGGAGTCTCACATTTTCTTCTTGTCACCCGAAAGCTGGACACACTTGACATACATGTTCGGGTCTCTCCCGTGTTTCCAAGAACAATATCCTTTGTGAATGTTCAGGTAGAATCATGTCACACGGTTCTCTTTGTTAGATTTGCCTGTTTGTATTTGTTTGCTAAGAGGGCAGGGAGGAAATCCCATGAGTTAAAATTTCCAACGAAGTCACTGGAAATTAACGCTGAACAAGCTTTACAAGAACGGACTTGAATTAGGCCACCTGTGCACCCTTTGCCATCGTTCACGGCATCTGTGACATCCCTCAGCTGCCCAGTCTGCTTCTGGGAGCAGAGATACTCCTCAGGGGACAAGGACACCTTCCCCGGCTACTGACCTGTGGACGGCATCCACATGTGGCCCGAGGGAGGGAGTCCAGATTGGTCAAAAGAGACAGGCTCAGGAGAGGACATATCCTGTGACAAGAACTGGAGAGAAGACTGTCCTTGTGAATGACACCTTAATGGGACCACTGCAAGAAACAATCTGAGGACTTTTGGTAATTATTGTCAACTACCTCTGGTGTGTGGTGTGGTGTGGGCTCGTGTGTGTGTGTGTGTGTGTGTGTGTGTGTGTGTGTGTGTGTGTGTTTCCACCAAGTGGGTCCTGGGAATCCAGCTCAGGTTATCAAACTCATAACCGCCCTTACCACTGAGCCATCTCACCAGCCCAAGACTGAGGATCAGAGTGTGAATTTTAAGCCACAGTGTCTAGCAGTGGAGCATAGTCTGCAATGCATGTATAGACACATGGTTTCCTATCTCCTCTGTCAACAACCGCAGCACCCCTGGGTGGAGGGAATCAGTTGAACCTGTGAGTTGGAACAAATGTCTGGAGAGGGAATTTGCTGAAAGCCGACCATTGGGGGGTGAAAGGAGAGAGATGGGTTGGATACCCACTTCTGCGTCACCCGAGGGCAGTGATTTGGGATACACCAGCCATGGACTGAAGAATGACTGTGATTCATTCTGGAGCACTTTGGGGATGTAACATGTGATGCGTGACGTGTCATAGCACATCTGGAGACATCAAAGTCTATTGTTGGAGCTGAACAAGACTCATTTGCGCTGTGCTGGGGTCGGCCAGTGCCCCGAGCTTAACCACAACAAGCAGGCTACTCGCAGACATGAGAGTGTGAGGAGGGAACGTTCCAGAGATGAGGCCTTCTGCAGCAGCCTGCATTTCCTGACTGTCAAGGGGACAGGACCACCTATTAAGTATCAGGGCGTTTTAATTTCTGATGTTGTTCTGGTGTCAGTGCCGTGTGAACAGTGTAAGGAGACATGGTCAGATCCTTCCCAACTTCCCTGCACTCAGGGCTCCTCTGCTGTTCTGCCGGCCTAAGACCACGTCCATGAACCACAGGGCGTGATAGAAGAAACATCTGAGCATTTTTGGTGATGACCTGGGCGGAGAGCTGCCCCCTGAGGCTTTTTTCTTCCACTCACGGGGCATGGTGCCTTGGACAGTTGGCGTATTTAAGGAATCCAGACATCCCGATGGGGGTCTCCTCATCTCTCTCCCTCTCCCTCTCTGTAAAGGGAAGCCTTTTATGTAAAGAGAAGACTTCCTGCCAGCCTGGTTCCAGAGCTGCATCAGTCCCAAATAACACACAGGAGGCTATATTAATTATGAAGCTGTTAGCCTTGCTTGTTTCTTACTGGCTAGCTCTGACTTAAGTATTTATTCCATAATTGTTAATCTAAGTATTTCTCTTACTGGAGAGGTTTCCGGGCTTCCTACCCCATGGCGTTACATCTTGACTCTCTGTGTTTCTCCTGTGTTTCTCCTACCCAGAGTCCTCCTGGATTCCTAGTCCCACCTATCTTGGTTCCCTATTGGCCAACAGTGCTTTATTGACATATACACAGGACTTCCCCCATCACCCCTCCTTTTCTCTCCTCCACTCTCCCTCTTAGATTGATTCTGTTGATTTTCACGTATGTGTGCCTATGTGCATACATGGTGTCGGCAGGAAACAGAAGAGAGTGTCAGATCCCCTGGAACGGGAGTTACAGGCCGTTATGAGCCGCCTGACATGGATACTGGGATCAGAATGAGACTTCATCTCTTTCAGCCCTGTTTCTTTCTTTAATGATTTTATTATGTGTGTGTGCGTGCGCACGTGTCATAAGGCATGGTACACACATGCAGGTCAGAGGACAGGTGGCAAGAGTCTGCCATCTCCTTACACCATGTGGGGCCTGGGACTGAGCTCAGGTTATCAGGCTTAGCAGCGAGCACTCTACCTACTGAGCGTGTCACTGGTCCCTTGTATTACTTTTTCAGTGTAAGTTGTTGATTCAAAGACACAAACAGCAAGACTTAGAGATGATACTGCAGGAAGTATAAATTTTGGCTGTTGGCAGATAAAATATTAAGATAGTATTTTGGGCTCCCAGTGTTGATATCCTGGTATTATGCTGACCCCGACCCCTGGCAACTGGCAGGATACGCAACCAGCCTTCAGGCAGATACTTAGGCAGCTCAAGCGCCCTGTGTTGCATGGTTACATCATGGGGGTGTTAGGTGTGTTAGGGACTCTGTGTGCAGAAACCCTAGGCCAGTGGCAGCTCCACGACACCAGTTTCAACTCCCCCAACTGCTGAGCCTCATTCTAAGCCGCTCCCTTTCCCAATAAACTCCACATGGGTTTTGTGAGTTTTGTGGTCCGTGTTTCATTGCCTGAAGCAGTAGCAAACAACATTTGGTGTGGTGAAAGTCGCTCAGGCTCTCTCCATAACTTCTCCTGCCATCCGCTGCTGGGCAGCCAGAGACACTCGGGGATCCTGATCCTGAATCAACAGCTCACGCTCCATCCGCCCGTCCCCTGGATGCCACACAACAGTGGCTGCCATTGGGAAAGCTGCCCCTTCTCTCAGTCAACGAAAACGCTCCCTTGAACCCATGGGGGTGACCCTTGGTCGTCCGGCACCCTCCTGGTGTTCTTAGAAGCAGGGGTGCCCCCAGCCACAGCCTTCAAGTCCTCAGCTGAACCCTTTCATTCACAATCACCTCTGGTGAACATCCCCTGGGGCCAGGCTTCATGCCTTCCATGGTTACCAATTACTGCCTTCTCTTGGACTATGGTGTCCTACTGGGCTTAGCCCTTGGCCCTCATTCTTGGGCTGATAAATCACAAGAGGCTCTCTGCCTCTCCCGTGGGAAGTAAACCAACAAAAAATATGAGCCCATCCATTCCACTGGGATGCCTTCTAGAAAATGTAAAACCTCTTCACTTAATGCTATTTGTGAAGGCCCCCAGATTCACTCACCTCTGTACCAAGAAATGGTCTAAATATACCCCCTAGATAATAAGTCAAACTGGCCACCTAACGGCTCTTTAGTTCCCGACATTTTAGGGGCCCTACCAACTATTGCCAGCAGATAGGTAAATGGAAGGAGTTACCACGTATTCAAGACTTCTTCTACCTCTCTGCTAAACATTCTCTTTCCTCTTTCTTTTTCTCCATCCCAGGACCAGAGGAAACCCCCACTCGTTTGGATCCTGCTGATGAACCTCCTCCATTTTGTCCTCAACACCCACCTTCTTCTCCTGCCCCTTCTCCTCCCCCAGCTTCCTCCTCTCCAGCAGTGGGCCACTCCGGCCGCCCAAGTCTTGCACCTACCTCCCCCCCCCATTACCCACTCTCGTGTCCCTATGTGCCCCCAACCTACCAAAGTCGATTCGGCTACAGTTCTCTCCTCGAGAGAAGCGGCCAGCGTGGATGGTCTGGTTAAAGTCCATGTCCCCTTCTCACTACCAGAACTTTCTCAGATAGAAAAGACACTGGGTTCCTATATCTCTAACTCTACTGCTTTCATAAAAGAGTTTCAGTAGATCACTCAATCTTACACCCTCGCCTTTCATGGCATATTCATGGCTTTGACCAACAACCTACTACCTGAGGAACACAGACGAGTTTGGGGGCAGACCGGAGCCCATGCAGACGTAATTCACCAGACGGATGCAGCAGAGGCTATCCCGGATCCGGAGCCCCATCAGGATTACAATACCCCAGGGGGCATTCTAGCTAGAGATCAGTTTACAACCTGCCTCATGACTGGTCTCCTAAGGCTTCCCTCGCCCAGTGAACTATGATAAACTTCTGGAGATAGTTCGGGACAAACAGGAAAATCCCTCTCAGTTCCTAAAACACCTTACAAAAGCCTTCTTACAGTATATTATCCTAGACCTGAGAACCCAGGGAGTACAACTCCTTAGGACACTTTTTCCCCAGAGCTCCCCTGACATTAGGGTTAAGCTTAGGCGTCTGGAGAGAGGACCTCTAACCCCACAGGCAGAAGTCTTGAGGGTGGTGGCTTTTAACGTATACCATGAGAGAGACCAGATGCTGGCCAAGGCCGTCCGTCCAGCCTGAGTCTGCTCGGGATCCCTCGCCCTCTGAGGCTCGGACCACAGCGTCCATGTTATAAATGTGGTCAGGATGGGCACTGGGCTCCAGCTTGCCCTAGTCCCCACGCGTCACTCAAACCGTGTCCAAAATGCCAGGAAATGGTCACTGGTCAGGAGGGGCGCAGGGACATCAGACACAGAACGCCCTCTAGCCAGCTCCCCAGCCCTGGTCATGGATGAAGGGGCCCGGGCTCTCTGTCATCTCTGACAGGGAGACCCGGCTGGACATCAAGGTATCAGGGTGATCCATCTCCTTCCTCTTGGACTCTGGTGCTACATATTCAGTCCTGAGGGAGTTTTGAGGACCCATCTCTCCTTCTCATATGCCTAATGTTGGGGTAGGGAGACAGCCTTACCTACCTCATCAGACCCCGCCACTCAATTGCATTTTCAGGGGAACTCCCCTCACTCAGTCATTTCTGGTTATATCTACCTGTCCTGTGCCCTTACTGAGAGGGGATCTTTTAGCCAAAGTGTAAGGAGCATGTAAACAGATAGGCAGAAGCCCCGCTGGAAGGAGATTAGTAAACAAAGGCCCGACTACTAGAGATAAGAATGAAGGTGTGTGTGTGTGTGTGTGTGTGTGTGCGTGCGCGCGCGTGTGTGTGTGTGTGTGTGTGTGTGTGTGTGTGTGTGTGGCCGAGTGTGATAAGCAAGGTTTTTAAGGACCAGCTCAGGACTGAGAAGAGAGCCCACTGTGACTGACTGAATGGACACGTCCTGGATGGAGCTCTCCTCCTCCTGAGAAGTGAGTCCCCTAAACTGAGAACTGCCCGTTCTGATACCAGACCGGAGACCTCAGTGGACTCGCTGCTTGAATCCAGAGGAATCTTGAGACGTCGTGAGCCGTGGCCCTGCACCAGACAGGTAACCTGGTTGTGAGCCTAGGGGCTATGGCGCCTAGGACATTGCTTCTGCTTGTGTGTATTGCTCTGATACAAGTGTGAGGTAAAATATATCCTCAAAACCAACTTGCTGAGTCTGCCGTCATTCCTCCCCAGTTAAAGCCCGGTGAGTGCTCGTGACACAAAGTTAGGAGCTTCTATTTCTTGTGCTCCCCCATTCTCCTAATCCCATACTCGCAGGATTAGCGAGCCTCTTCCTCCTAGCCTCCAACCCTACTGGTTCCAATATCTCATTTCCTCTACCAGCCTCTCAGGTGGACCCCCAAGTCGGGGACACCCGAAACCCTTCTGTGGCTAGGCACCATTCCCCCATTGTCATTGGGTGGCAAGACCCCTCAAGGTACCTCACCCAAGTCCAGTACCCACTCCCACTCCAGAGCCTTAGAGGGCTTAAACCTATCATCTCTGACCTCCAAAGGAAAAAACCTGCTTCATATACTAGCTGTTCAAGACCTCCGGCTCATTAATTCTGCAGTGGTCCCCCTCCATCCTGTGGTGCCTAACTCTTACACACTTCTCTCTACTACCCCCCTCGGGGACCTCTCATTTCTCAGTTTTGGATCTTAAGGATGCCTTTTCCTCTATCCCTCTCAACACTCAGTCTCAGAATATCTTTGCTTTCCCCTGAACTTTGACCCTGGCACCCATGCCTCCACACAGCTCACCTGGACCGTCCTGCCTCAGGGACTCCAGGATGGCCCACAACTATTTGGCCAGGCTCTGGCTTCTGACCTGCTCTCCCTGTCTCTTCCCGAAAATAAACTCATACAGTATGTAGATGATATCTTACTTTGCAGCCAGCCCTTAGAAGTTAGCCAGACTGACACCTCCGCTCTTCTAAATTTCCTGTCCAGCAGGGGTTAGAGAGTCTCACCTTTTAAGATCCAACTGTCCACTCCTTAGGTCACCTACTTGGGACTAACCATCACCCTGACTCATAAAGCTATTACCTTAAACAGGAAGAACCTAATCCAATCTCTTGCAGTACCTTCTACTAAAGAGGAGACTTTGTCGTTTCTAGGAATAGCTGGCTTCCTACACTCCTGGATCCCCCCCTACTCTCTCCTTGCTCGTCCCCTATATGAGGCAGCTCTTGGCTTTCCATGTGAAGCCCTCTTAACCCTGTTACTGAGCCCTTTCAGAAACTCACACAGGCTCTTCTCCAGGCCCCAGGCCTTCATCTCCCAGACCTAACTTGTCCTTTCTCCCTCTATGTAGCAGAAAAGAAGGAATGTGTCCTTGGAGTTCTAATCCACCAGCTAGGACCTTCCTTTGAATATCTGTCAAAGAAACTAGACCTAACTACCCAAGAGTGGGCACCCTACATACATGTTTTAGCAGCTGCTGGGCTCCTCACTCGTGAGTCAAGGAAACTCACCTTTGGGTCACCCGTCACTGCCTTCTCCCAGCATGACCTGTCTCATCTCCTAACTTACAGAGGCTTGCAAACTCTACCCCCTTCTCGAGTTCTTTCTCTCGAGGTGGAGCTAGCAGAAGATGCCGCACTTACTTTCCAGTCCTGCCCACCCCTCAATATCTCAAATCTTCTACTTCAACCTAACACTAACTATTCCCCATCTCATTCCTGCATCGAAACCCTAGAACTACTGCCCCATCCTTCACACGTACGGGAAGACACACAACCTAAGACCACCTACACCTGGTACCCAGATGGCAGCTCCTTTTTACACGGGGAGACCCATCGAGCAGGCTATGGCATAGCGCCAGATACCAGAGCACTCCCCGCCCACACTGCTAACCAGCAGGTTGAACTAATAGCGCTCAACTGTGCCTTCCATTAGCACAGGGACAATCCCTAAATGTTTACACAGACTCCAAACATGCTTTTCATACCCTCCTGTCCCATGCTGCTCTCTGGAAAGAGTAGGGCTCCTTACTACAAAAGGAGGATCCATAACTAACTCAGGTCAGATTATGGCCATGCCAAAGGCCTCCCACATCCCCAAAGCTATAGGGATTATTCACTGCCGGTCTCTTCAGAAACTCTCATCTCGAAGGGAAACAACCGGGGTGATAAAGCAGCTAGGACCACAGCCCTTGAGACCCCGATTCGCCCCACCCACTGCAGGGAGTTCATACAACCCACATCCTCACAGTCACCTCCTGACACTCGACAAATCCTGTCCTGTCTACACCGGCTCTTTCACCCCAACAGTCAGGCACTGTCTCAACTTGTCATGGCTCATCTCCACCCACTTCTGGGGACTTACATTTCTTTCTTTTTTTAAAATTATTTATTTTTAAATTTAAATTAGAAGCAAGATTGCTTCACATGTCAATTCCAGGTCCTTCTCCATTTCCCTCCCCTCCTCCCGTGCCCTCCCCCCAAACCCCCCATTATCCCCTCATTTCCCCAGGGAGGGTGAGGCCCTCCATGGGGGTGTCCATAGGCTGTAATTTCATCCAGGGCAGGGCCTAGACCCTCCCCCAAGAGTCAAGGGTGAGAGTGCATCTCTCATTGTTGGATGGGAGTCCAAAGTCCGTGTGTATACTCGGGATGAGTACTGATCTACTGCCCAGGGACTTACATTTCTTAAGAACTATCACTGCCTCTTGTAAAGCCTGTCAGATGTCAGACCCTAACTCCAGGTAGTGCAGTTTCCCTTTTCCCACCCACCAGGCCAGGGGCTCTCTCCCAGAGACTGACTGGCAACTTGACTTTACCCACATGCCCACAGACGAGTCAAATATCTCCTGGTATTAGTTGATACCTTCTCAGGGTGCGTGGAAGTGTTTCCAACCACTGACAAAAAGCCCAGACAGTCTCTGACATCCTTCTCAGGGAAATTATTCCCCGGGTCGGGATTCCAGCCTCTCTTCAGCCAGACAATGGTCCCGAGTTCACCTCTCAGATCTTCCCAAACCCTATCTAAAGCTCCCAGCATCCCTTGGCACTTTCATATCCCGTATCACCCCCAGTCCCCAGGGAAGGTAGAGCGAACTAACCATTCCTTAAAAAATGTTCTCGTTAAAATGTCACAGGAACTTCACCTTGCCTGGGTAAAGCTCTTGCCTCTGGCTCTTTTCAGGCTCATGACTCCCCAGACGGCCCCTGTCCATCTCACCCTTTGAACTCACGCATGGGCGGCCGGTTCTGACACCCGGTCTCGTCTCTCACCTAAACCCTCACCTGTCCCTGATCTCCTGCTTACACCTTCCCGTTCTCTCCTTGTGCAGTTAACATCAGGGACCAGGTCCTTCTCTCTCCTCCAGACCAATGCCCCATCCCTCCCCCCTAAATGGCATGGTCCCTTCAAGGTAATTCTTGTGACTCCAACAGCTGCTAAGCCTGAGGGCCTCCCCCACTGGATTCGCTTATCCCACTCAAACCCTTTACTTCTCCACCTGAGGCTCACCCCTCACATATAGCAACTGCTACAGGACCCTGCTCCCTCAAGCTTCGGAGGACACCAAGATCAACTCCCTTGTCCCCATTTTCAGAAGAATGAGGCTCCACCCCTACAACCACACTGTACCGGACTGGGAACCCCATACACTTTCCTTCTTGACCCGCCCCCTGCTGATCTGAGTTCCCCTGCTTATACTAATTACACTCTGTTCATCATTCTCCTCTCTATGCATCCCCCAATAACTCATTAACACTCCTGATCCAATCAATTAGCTGTTGCTGCCGGTAGCCACGGATCTGGAGACGCAGAGACCATCAGGCTCGTCCAGGCGCCCTCAAATCAACCACCTGTGCCTCTTGAGTGAATGTCAAGGTCTAAGAGGCGCCAGAGAGTTCCATACAGCCTGGACTGCAAGGAAACAACCAGCTACCCCAGGACATGGCAGCACCCCAACTTTTTCTCCCCTTCCCAGATGATCAATGCCCTCTAAGTCAGCTGGAAGCAGTCTTGACGATTCGGTGCCCCATATCCCTGCCCTACCTGACCCCCGTTTAATCTCCCACCTTTTAATAATAATAAGGGGTGAGATTGTTGATATCCTGGCATTATGCTAACCCCGCCCCCTGACAACTGGCTGGGTACACAACCAGCCTTCAGGCAGATACTTAGGCAGCTCAAAGCGCCCTGTGTTGCATGGTTACATCGTGGGGGTGTTAGGTGTGTTAGGGACTCTGTGTGCAGAAACCCTAGGCCAGCGGCAGCTCCACGACACCAGTTTCAACTCCCCCAACTGCTGAGCCTCATTCTAAGCCGCTCCCTTTCCCAATGAACTCCACGTGGGCTTTGTTGAGTTTTGTGGTCCGTGTTTCATTGCCCAAAGCTGCAACAAACGCCACCACCCAGATCACTCAGCCCCCAAAGTGTTGCCCCCCCACGTGCTAAGTGCAGTCACATCCTGTACTATTACTTGGATAGGAGTGGGATGGAAGAAATTGGGGGATGAAGTGACAGCCATCCCAATTCTACTAATGAGTGTGCTCCATCTGATGATTCTGGACTCCATTTTTATTTTATAGTATCCTTCTAAAACCCCTCCTCAAAAAAAATCCATAGGGACCAGTTGCCTGGCACTCCACTAAGGTCTAGCTTTGGAAGATACGGTATCTGTTGCTCTCAAGGAGCCAAGTGTCCTGTGGGGCTGAAAAATGCTTTTAATACAAAGAAATGAGTGTTGGGCTGTGTCTGCTGTGCTAACAAGTGACCCTGCAAGCCTTAGTTTATCAGACCCGATCCTTGAAGTTCACCTCAGCTTGGCTGGCTCTTTTGTTAAAGTACCTGTTAAGGCAAACAGCGTCTAATCTAGAAGGTTCCATGAGAGGGAGAGGGAGAGGGGGAGAGTGAGGGGAGGGGGAGGGGAGGGGGAGGGAGAGAGGAAAACAAACCAGATGCCAGCTGGCTCACACCTCATTGGCCAAAACAAGTCACATGATCAGGCCTGCCACCAGCTCTGCTGTGTCCTGGCAGTTAACAGTTAACAGTTGGCAGTTAGTGGGTCGCACTCTGTCAGAGTACAGCAGCAGAGCTAAGGTCTGGACCTTAGTTAGGCACAGGCAGTGGGACAGAGAGGCAGAAGCTCCTTTGGGCTCGTTTTCCTAAGACATTTTAATTGAACCCCACCTTTCCCACTTCCGGCCT